TGTCACTCACGTATGAGTGACGCGGTACATTACCGTAAAACCATGTCACTCATATACGAGTGAGGTGGAAGCAAAAGTGTTAATAGGCTCTACATCGCTGTACAATAAAAAAAAGTTCACAACAGAGCTGGGCAATTATTGAAATTTGTTAATTAATTAATTAATTGTTAAAAAGATTGAGAAATTATTATTACAATATCTCAATTACTTGCATAGTTGGAATAATTGGATACAGTAATTATAAGAAACATTAATTTTGATTAGTGATCATTTTCATGATATTAATCAATTTAATAGTAAGTTTGATTAATCAATTACTTTATGTGACATTAATTAAAGATCATATTTATTAATTGAACTAATCACCCAGCTCTAGTTAGGATAGTTTCTATTTAACAATAACAGAAAAATTCCATTTATCAATTTCAGTGCTATCTTTTCATTACAATAGCTGATACAGAGTAGTCTAAAATACTTGTAAGTTGTTTCACCACATAAATACTCAAATTGGAAATTCAACAAAATTTACTGGCATGCCCAATAAGTGGTTCCTATAAAGTTTTCAAGTAATTTGCTAGAATAGTGAACTTAGATGATCTAGATGAAATCTTTACACATTAAGATATTCTATAAAACTTATTTAGCTGAAATATTGCAGTTAGGTCTTTCTGCACTTCTTGACATACATTAAGCACAATTAACTAAACAAAAACTTTATCTTTGCAACAAGAAATTTCTAGTCTTATAGAATTAATTATAGTAGAATCAAAACAAAGAAAGGCTAAAATAAAGCTGTTCTACTTCTACTGGAACAACTTAAACTGTAGGCAAGCTTTATGTCATATATCATCAGTAGAATATGACAAACACACAGAAACTCTTAGACAACTGAACAAGATGTTTATTCTACTGTGTGACAACTTAATCAATATGAAACAAAAGATGGTACAAAAGCATAAGTTCTAATTTTATCAAAAGACTTCTGTGTAGTTATGAAAACTGAACTTAGAAGAAAAATCATTATGCATTTATAGTAAATCAAACAAATAAAAGTACAGTAAACAAACTCCACAACAAACTTAAATTTATTTACAATGTAACAGAATGTACCATACTTTCAGCAAGGAAATGGTACAAAGCACCAAGGAATAAAGGAAGCTTAAAATGAGAAAACAAAAAAAGCCCCTTCTTTTCCTTCAGTAATTTCAGAATGGAGAAAATAAAAGCACACATTATTTTGTGAAGCCCATGATGTCTTGCTACAAATATATAAACTCCAAAACAAAAACTTGATATAATAGTAATGATGATATAATGCCTACAGGTTCACATTAAAATATTAGACTGATATAAATTTTCTTGAGCCAACTAATTTTTATCATCAGCTATTAAGCTACTATTTCAAACATTATTGTTCTTCTTATAATGAAGTAAAAGTAATTACTTATCAAACATTGTTAAAAATAGTTTGTAATCTTAATGGCCTATCTAGTACGACTACTAGTCATGGTTAAATACTGAAAGACTTATGTAAAACATCCAACAACTGCATATTTCTTCCTCAAATTTTGTTTGAACTCTGCTAACTGCCAACTAACATCGTTATTCATTGTACACAAAACTACAAAAAATTTAATGGTCACATAAGGATGCAACCCAGAGAATTACAACTTAAAAACCCAATCATACAATCAGTCTTCTAGGTTATGTAAATCAGACTATCAAATTTCACAAAATAAGGGGGAAAAAATGTTATTGAGCTGACACTCTTGTCAGCATATGAAATATTTTTCTTGTTTCATCTTTTTATATATATATATATATATATATATATATATATATATATATATATATATATATATATAATATATATATATAGATAGATAAGTATATATATAA